CCCAAAAAAAAAAACCCACCACGTGGCGCTTGTTGTGGGTAACCATCCCCGGGGGAATACCCAGGGAATTTTTCCTTCCACAGATCTATTTTTGATTTCCCCCCCCCCTCCCTCCCCCCCCCCACCCTCCCAACCTCTCCTTTTGGTCTCGCCAGTACGTCATTCATCACAAAACTATACCACCTTTGTCTACATTCAATGGAGGTTTTCATTTCCCGTGGAGATATTTTTGTCTGTTTGTTTTCGTTCTAAAGGTGTTCCATTATCTCTGCTCTCTGCTCGCCCCCTAGTCCATGAGCTGTTACTGTAAGTGTCTTGTCCATGAGCTGTTACTGTAAGTGTCTTGTCCATGAGCTGTTACTGTAAGTGTCTTGTCCATGAGCTGTTACTGTAAGTGTCTTGTCCATGAGCTGTTACTGTAAGTGTCTTGTCCATGAGCTGTTACTGTAAGTGTCTTGTCCATGAGCTGTTACTGTAAGTGTCTTGTCCATGAGCTGTTACTGTAAGTGTCTTGTCCATGAGCTGTTACTGTAAGCGTCTTGTCCATGAGCTGTTACTGTAAGCGTCTTGTCCATGAGCTGTTACTGTTAGCCTTCACTTGTAGGGAAGGCAATGAACCCTCCGCTATAAACAAACACTGACCGAAAAAAAACCCACAGCCAGGTCTCACTGATGTATCTTGTACAGTAAATAGGCAAATGAATAAATAAATAGATAAATAGATAAATAAATGAATGAATAAACAAATAAATAAATAAATACAATTAGGTCTCAACACGGTGCTAGCAGACACTCGTCAGGCTATAGGCACATGAAGTTATCGATATATAATCTTAAAGTTTGTTCATTTCCCTCGCTTTAATGGAAAAACTACTCATCTATTTTAATTAAACAGAAGTGGAGACATCAAACAATTCGTTGCTATTGAAGGGGGTGGGGGTCTTCTGGTGTCAGAAAAAAGTAGCGTGGAAATGGTCGCCAAAGTTTGGTCGGACTTCTGAAGTTTGAGTGTGTTTGGAAAGTGAAAAATCACGGGGGGAGGGGGGGGGGAGGGGGGTGGGGGTTGTAACTTTGATCAGCCTTCTTTGAGTTTATCACACAGAATGTGTTTTTAATGTACAGAAAAGGTGTGAAGCCAAAAAAGAATTAATAGAAAATATTTATAAAAACTGCCGGTATCTTTGATTAAATTATTTTGTGCACCTCTATCTGAGAGGTTATTGACCTTACAAGCATCGTTATATCAGAGACTGGACACAAAAATATCGGTGAATTGTTTGTGGTCACGATGTTTTGTTTTCCTTCAGGACGAGACTATATTATCCCTAGACACACAAACAAACAGAGCTCAGGGTCCAGTTAAGTTGTGGGGGGTCATGGAGTAGTGGTTTTTTCTTGAGGACGACAGGGGAAAACAAAGAGAACAACAAGTCGGTCAACATGTGTGGGGGTGTTGGTGAGACTGTTTGTGCTTGTGACAAGTTCTTGTTTATCGTCAAGGTTCGAGCCTCGGTTCAGACTCGGATTTTTTTTCGCCCCCTCCTGCCCACCCAGCAGTAATGGGTACCTGACTTGGAGTTGGGGAAGTAAAGGCGGCGTGAAAAGGAACTGGTCACCCTACCACAATATGCCGAAGGCCCAGGAAGTTGTCTCACTAACAAGGCAATCCTCAATGTCCGGATCGGATGCGGGAACAACTTTACTTTTAAAAAAATACTTTTTTTCATCATGCGAATTGGTGGTTGTGGTAAGGGGCGAAGGCTGACTTGTTTGACAGGGTAATCAAAGTGAAACGGGACCAGATATAGATCTATATGGCCTGTAGATATCACATAAGAATCTTACTCGAGGCGGCGACTCTGCCTGAGTTGTAAATGAAAACAAATCCGGAATTCATATTGTATGTTCAACCGCCAAAATAATCGGGAAAGTATCTTATTAAATATCAGTTCCAACTAAAATTAAATTAACTTTAGATGTGAATACATAAACACAAAGCAAAGAAGCAGAGATGTCAGTACTAGATCTATATGTTATAGATCTACCAGAGAGTCTAACTCTTTGGTAGAACATGAGAATTATAATTTTTTAAATTTCACATTTGGCTGTTTCTGTTAGCCTTTCGCGGCCAGGAGCTGGTGTCATAATCGAGGTCACGATCTGATTATAGGACAGTAAAAAGTCGAGGAAAAAAAACAAGCACATGCAGCAGTAAAGAGATTGTTAGGAGTTAGTTCCCCTCACATTTGTGAGGTAGACTCGACCAGTGTTCGTTAGCTTACTTAATCAGGGCTTGTGATTGATTTTAACTGTGGCCCCAAAGGGGTGAACAGGGTATGTGTGGCAATGAAACAGCCATGACTGTTATGCACATGTTCCCTCAACTGTATTGGTAGACTCTTTCAGCCTCACTTTAAGCTTACTTAATCAAAGTTTGCGACTGATTATGGAGTGGCCCGAGAGGGGTGAGGAGGCTATTCATGTGGCCGTGAAACCGTTTTAAATGTTAGGCATGCTCATTGTGGATTACGAACCTCTTTTTACTTTTAATTTAAGAGGTTTACGTTTAAGGATGAATTTGACAGCGACAATGTTTCAAAATTAGGAAGGGAAGCAGTGATTATTTGATTATATAGACGCTTCGCCCCTGGTTGTGGTGTAGTGGGTAGGTGCTTCGCCGTCGCACGCAGGAGGCACAGGTTTGACTCTCGAGTGGGGAGAATTTTCATCTCTTTCAGCCAGAGTTGGGTTCGTGTTCTTTTCTTTGTGTGTCCCTCTCTGGTAACAACTCTAATCTTCTGCACTTATACGACCTAGTTGTGTTGCAAATGCCGTAAAACTCCCACAAATTCCAAACCAAGACGCTGCGGCCATCGAAGCGGCCTCTCATGGTCTATTCCCGTCTGTCCATGAGGGCTTTCTCTCCCAGGGCGCTGACCTCTGTGACCCCTCTGTGACCTCTGTGACATCTCTGTGACCTCTGTGACCTCACGGGGGAGATTGTAAGTCTTCCGACCTGAGAGGTCACCTAAGTCACGACAAATCCGCCTGGAGAAAGGTTGACATTTGTGGCACGACGCGGTGGAATCAAGCGCTCGTATATATATATATATATATATATATATATATATATATATATATATATATATATATATATATATAAAATCTATTTGTGGTGGCCGAATTTTTCTATTCAAAAGGCTTTTTAATGGCTCCATCGATCGACATGCGGTTTTTGCCAAAAGATTCTTTAAAATATTTTCTAGATCATGACGCCCTTGTTTTTTTTCAGTTTTGAAACAGTTTTGCTTCATAAATCTAAATTTATTTATTTCGCCGATCGCTTTTGTAGGCCGACGTTTCTGTCTCTGTAATTTTAGAAAATCCGGAAGTGATATTTTGCGAGGCGCATTTTGATTTGAGAGTATAGATCTATACCTTCTAATTGTTTGCATCTCTCAAGATTTATTGTCCCATTCCAGTAGAGGATAAATATAGTAGGCCAATTACTTTTAGTTGATATTAAAGCACCGATCATTCCTTTCATCGAAAATGGGCCCCAGCTAGTATTATCTATTTGTGGTGGCCGAATTGTGCTATTCAAAAGGCTTTTTAATGGCTCCATCGATCGACATGCGGTTTTCACCAAAAAATTCCAATGACTTTCAGTTGATGTTAATGCACCGATCATCCCAGCTAGATTAGTATATATATATA